CCCCAACCTCATGAGAGCCAATTCCTTGAGCCTGTGTAGTACCACCAATGCCTACAATCCACCGCCATTGCTCAGAACCAACTCGTTGAGCCTAACGACTAGCCAACACCACCACCACCACCACCACCATCATCATCATCATCAGACTAGCTCGACGACCGTTAGCTCGTCGGTGATCGGCGCCACCAGGCCCAAGCCGACCTTTTCTCTCGGCAGTACCGGAGACTCGGTTTCTCCGTCGTCCAGCCTCAGTCAGTCGCCGACCAACTCTATGGCGAGTTTCTTCGGCGACGACAGCAATCAGCAACCGTCCGTTACCTCGCCGTTCAGCTTCGGCCAGGATTTCGGGCTCCTTGCCACGAGACGAAGTCCCAGTCCTCGAACCAACAGCGTGTGCAGTCCTTTGAGCACCGAGGAGCCCACGCCGAGAACACCGTCCCCGCTCTCACCGAACGCCGAGTCCAGACTGCCAGTTTTCAACAGGATCAGCAACACCCTCGCCGACTTTGAGAATCTTAAGATCTAAGGGAAATCTCCTCTGGGTCCTTCGACTTCCTTTGGTATATTCTATTTTCCTAACGTTGTTTCTGATAAATGTGTACGTCAACGTTTTAAAGAGCAGAGTAAGGACAGAGAGAGAGAGAGAGAGAGTGTGTGTGTGTGTGTGTGAGAGAGAGAGAGAGAGAGAGAAAGAGAGAAAGAGAGAGACGATAAAGAGCGTTGGACCCAAAGCACACGCGTTAATTTATAATTATATATCGACCGAAAAGACAAGCGAATATTTAGGGAGAGGGGACGGACTCTTCCACCGACTCAAAGAGGTTTTTCCTTTTCTCTTTTCTTGTTTTTAACGTTTGAACTATATTTCCGCGTCAGACGGGCCTTCCTCTCCATCGTACTCGGCTTCTTATTTAAGCGTTTCTCGTTCTTTAAACTGTCATTTCTAAATGTTTATAATAATTATGATCACACTATTATTATTATTATATAATTATATTATATATATATATAATATTATGTCAGTATATTATATTATCATCGCTACAATTAATATTAATAACGTTATCAGTAATATCGCTAGCGACTCTGAATATCGCTGTTAATTCTAACCGCATTAGTAGCGTCAGTCACTTTGTGACTCCGACTACAGGTCCGTTTCCATCTTTTTTTCTCTTCTTTACTTTAGGTTTACGCTCGTTTAGTGGAAAGGTCGAGATGGTATCAGCCCGGATGTCCCGACCTGCTCGTGAGAATCCTTGGATGATTCAACCGTGGAAAAGGAGAAAGATAGAGAAAAGAAAAAGAGAAGCGCAAAGATCCGGGAGCGAGGATAGCGTGAACGTAAGAATATGCAGAAACGAAAAGGCGGCGATGGGAGCGAAAATGTACCGGAAGAACGAGTCCAAGTTTCTACCGAATTCCGACTTGGCTCGAGCAAGTTGTTCTTTGATCTCCTTTGGACTCGCGCAGCCCCATCTCACTCGGCATCTCCGCTTTCAATGTCCGATCCTCGCCTTTGTCCTTGCTCCTCCGTTTTGTCGCTTGGTTCACGCGAGGATTCTCGCAACAACGAGGCGTTTTTCCATCCGGGCCAGGTGAAATGTTGCAATATTCCAAACCAACTCGTTCGTTTTTTAAATAATTCCTGGATTTCTTCTTGCGAAAAAGCGGCAGGGGAAAGTAGACTTTTGAGAGTGAAAGGAAGGCGAGATCGAGTCGCACGAGAGAAATAACTGAAAGCAAAACAGATGGAGAGGAAGATATATATATATATATACATATATACACACATATATATATATTTATATATGCGTGTGTGTGTGTGTGTGTGTATGTGTGTATGCAAATATGTGTATGTGTATATATACACACACACGTATGAACAGGAGTAAAACGTGTCGCGTTGGTGTTGGGTTTAGGTGATGAAGCGCACGAGATCACAATCAAAGATCATGCTATGCAAATTAAGTGGCTTAGAAACTCCGATTGTCTTCCAACGAGCAAGTAAGAGTGTGTTTGTGTGTCAGTGTGAGTGTACAATCTCGTGATATTACGAAGTAACCTAGACAGAGTGGAAGAGAGAAAGAGAGAGAGAGAGAGAGAGAGAGAGATCGAATGGCGAGAGCAAGAAGCAAGCAAAAGGAAGATAATGAGAGAAAGTGATGCGTTAGTGATGTATGTATGTATGTGTGTATGTATGTGTGTGCGTGTCATGTGTGCGCGTGTACGTGTGAACGAAAGAACGTGCTCATTTAACAATAAGTTATACGAAAATAGATATTTTTATAGACGAGAATTCGTCAGGGCTTTCAATCGTTTTACGCGTTCAAGGTGAACTTTGTACGAGAGACGCTGTACGCCAACGAGAGGTTGACAACTGATTTATACGTTCCCCGAGAAAAAAGATTTCTGTCTTCGGAATAACGTTCTATCCTGAGACGAAAATATCCTCTAATGGAATTTCTTACCAGCATCAGAGTTACTTTTATAATTTTCTTTTTAATCGATTTTTAGACATTTTATCCATCTAAAGACGTTCTTGATTCTTTTTCATTTTCTAGTTTATTGGACCGAAGAAGCATTATCGGACGTACGTCATAGCTTGGTTGAAAATTTTGGTTTTTTCCATGTTCTTGTTTGTTTTCTTTTACGTTCTCGGTTAATCGATCGATCAAAAGTTCGAAAAGAACAAATAAAAAAGTCTATTTTTACCGACTTTCCAAAGCTAAGACAATCGAGTAATTGTAAGAAATTTTAATGGCAAAAGAGAGCCAATTCTTTCCACGACCAACTCGTACCAAAATCAAATATTGGTAAACCTATTTCTTTCTCTAACGTACCACGAAACGAATTCGCTCTAGCTTTAGCTCGACAGGACAATATGCCCTCTCTGTTCCTCCCTCTCGTTCAAACTCTATACGATAATTGCTGATATTTGCATTGCGATAGCTACATATCACTTTTCTTTTTTTATGGGAAAGGACAATGTGTATATATATACCGCGAAGTGGACCCGATTACTCCTTCCGCTTCCCGTCGTTCGCCCTCTCCTTTCAACATCTGGGCCTCGACCGCGATAAAAGCATTAACATTATGGAGAAAAGGAAAAGCAATTGTATTACGAAGAGAGCGAACGGAGAGAACATATAGGTAGATGGAGCGAAAGCGACAGTGAGCTTAGGGCAATGAGGCGGCGTAATTTCGAGAGTGCTTCCGTCTGCCAACAAATAATCACTTTTCGCGTTAAGATCGTTCAAAGCGTCGTTTCGAGAAAGTGGAACGACGAACCGACTAGCTCGTCGGTGTATATTTTCGTTTGTCTTATTTTTTATTTTCGTTTCTTTTTCAAATATCGCCAATAGATTTCTTGGCGAAAAAAGCGCGTTACCCCTACGAGAATGTCGAGAGAACAACGTTGAGCAATACGAAAAAAAAGAAAGTGCTAAATAACGTAGTTTCTGAAAAAACGAAATACATTTTGTATATATGCACACCACATACTTACGCTGATAATTAAGTCTATAATCGCGTTTGCTTCAAGTATAAATTAATCGAAATCGTTTCAGTTTAAACTGTTATAGATTTAATTATTATCGTGTATTATTATTATTATTATTATTATCATCATCATCATCATCATCATCATTATACTAATATTATTTTTATTATTAATTATTAACTATTATTTTATATTATTATTATTATTATTATTATTATTATATTATTATTATTATCATCAAATTCACAACACTATACGCATATAAAGTAAACTCATCTCTTCTACAACAAACAGCATAACATATTCATTTAATATCGTCATATTATTTATCTGACTGATCGTTTCTTTTTCTCTTTATATTATTATTATTATTATTAATGTTAATAGCATTATTTTTATTATTTTTGTTTTTCCATTTTCATGTAAAACGATGCAGTCAATTGCAAGTTCCCATCATGCAGTCTATTGCTTCGACGATCGTAGTTCAAAGCACCAACTAAGGTCAATTAATATCTTGTCTCATCCAAAATATATATATTTATATAATATATATATATTATATATATAATATATAATATATATATATAATATATATATATATATCGCAGTAACTTTTGCGGCTCTGTATCCGTTATATTATGGTATTATTCTTATTCTTCTTTTTATTATTATTATTATTATTGCTATTATTATTATTATTATTATTATTATTATTATTATCATTATTGCTATTATTATTGCTATTATTATCATCATTATTATTATTATTATCATCATCATTATCATCGTCACCATCGATACTCGTATCGCTATTACTTCTATTATTACTACTGCTATTGCCACTACTACTATTGCTGCTGTCGCTATTACTTGTTACGTTACTATCACTTTACTACCATCATCACTGCTGCCAGCACTGTCTTCTGACGTACTAGTGATATCCTAGGATTTTCACAGATCGTCGCATCTCACCAACGTTATCGATCATAACTTCGTTATTGCCGTTATTTCGCGTTCAAAAACGCGAAGCCCTCCCTTAACCCATTTGTGCTCGGTCCATCTTTTGTACATTTATTATTTAACGAATATTATTTAATTCCTTGCCATAACATACATACTCGGCCCTTTCTCTCGTGCCCGAACGCAACGATACGCTCGATTTACGCGACTCTCCTTCCACGAGCCCAGAAAGCAGAAAGCCTAGAGATTCCGAAATCTAGAATGGCGAACGAAAATCCACGTGTTTCTAATTCGCCGATTCGAGGTTTACCGGGCTCTCGACGTTGCTCGCGCTATAGGCTGATGCGTATCGCGTATTTGCTTTTGCGCGCGGAAAAGACAACCTTCCTGTTCGCGCGCGCTCGCCATCGACGGCGCGCGATAAAGTGGATTAGCGAAGGCGGTGATTAAAAAATCTGCTGGCACGGCGCTGTCGCACGTCGCGGCGCGCCGCTCCGGTTCGCGTCGAGAAAGGAATAAAATCGCGGAGGAGAAGTACGTGAACGAAGAGGGAGGAAGGAGAAACGGTGGAAAGAGCGCGTTTACCGGGCACGGAGAGTGAAAGTCCCAGAGAGTTTGTTCGTCGGTCGATCGAGACAGGAAAATAAAAAGATGCGTAGGCACATACGGG